CTTAATATATATATATATATATATATATATATATATATATATATGCCATATTCATAAGCGACATTCAGATCATCTTTCATAAATTGTACCTCAAGATGTTACCTTGCAAAGAGGTTATCAATTAATTTTCAGGATGTGCTCATGTGTAGTTTAAAGGTCATTCACCTCATTTTTAATCAATTTTTACTCAAACTCACTATTAGAAACTTAATCATAATTTTATCCGATGATTAGTTTGATTCAACAACTATCTTGATCCAATGACTTTTTGTTCAATCGCTCGTTTGAAGGAAAAGAATAAAGCAATTTACTTCTATTTCTACATATAACATCTAAATACCTAATTTATTAATATTAAAAAATAGTAAATTTGATTGATAATAATAAATTTATTTTATTTTTATATTTTTTTTCTAAAGCTGTCGCTATTATTTTTTCTATCTCAATTTATACTCACTTCTCTCTTAATCAATTAAAATATATGTTTTATACTATTTTTTTCTATCATAATTAATATTGTTTACTCTCCTAATCAATTATAATAGTCTATAAGTATTTTATAAAATTAGGAGAACATGTTATAATTACAAGTATTTTATTTTAAAAATAATTAATACATCAAATATTATGAAATGAGCCTTATATAAATAAATAAACAATTAATCTAAATTTGATCTTATAAATTAAAAATAGAAGTAGGATATCATAATCATTACCTTAAATTTAAATCAACCCAAATTTTTCTTTAAGCACTTTTGTTTACAAATTATTAGATGATAACGAAGTTGTCTCTTTACTTCATGTATATCAAACTCTTTCAAAGTAACCTCTCTCTTTTATTTAGACTTATGCCTCCTTAAGACATTTGTATTCATGTTCATCGCCAATCTTTGAGCCTATGACTCTTGGGTGTTGTTTTGATATTAACAACTCAAAAATTGTTTCGTCAAATTTCTCTTTAGTTTTTTTTTCTTTTGTTATTTTCAATTGCTTTGAATTAGCCAATGGCTTTTAAAAAAAAAAAAAAAAAACTCATGCATTATCAATTCACGACCACACACATATTTTTGTTACTTTAGTCTTTAAAAAAAAAGTCGATGTTCTCTTTAAGAACCTAACATTTACTGGACCTCACAATATCTTCTCACATAGGAGACGCAGACGCTCATTCTCTTTTGTGGAAAAAGTAGTTTTAGAGACGCTCTTAATACCTTGTATTCCCCTTATTCCAGCACATTCTCAACACTAAAAAAAGAGTATTATAGTAAAACATTCTTTAATACTCTTTTCTTTCTTATATTCTTTTTTATTAGGTGAAATTCATGTGATGTTGTTAGTCTTACTAAATATGTGAATTTTAGTGAATTTCGTTCTCATACCAGTATAACTTTCACGACTAATAAAAAAAGTACAATTAAAAAGAAAGGATTAAAGTGACCAACAATATCCAAAGCTATAATAGTTTTGAAACAATAGGGAAAACTGTTTTTCAAGATTGAGGTTTGGCCATTACAGATAATCCTATAACTCGGTGTATTACGTGTCATATTTATAATTATAAGTAAATGAACTTGGGAATTCTGACACATTAGTTATTTTGAACAAAAATTTCATGGAATTCTACATTTCATAAAAATGCAAGAGTGAAGAAGCAGTCACGCAGAGTCTTGCATGAATCTATTCAATGAGGCAAGCGTGCATGAGGAAATTATGCCTCCAGAAACAATTAGTCTTAGACCAACGGTTGAGAACTTTAAAGATAGATATAAAGTTAGATATGTATACAGTTCAATAGTAGTTAGTAGTTACACGCTCTGGAGTGACAAGTCAGAGAAGAATTTATTGCAACAAATTTTGAGGTGATTTTAAGGTTACCATGTTATCACTCAGTTTTATGAACAAACAAAAAGCAACAGACAAAAACAAAAGCTGTAAAAAGTAAAATTTCATACTTCTTTTTAGGGGAAGTTAAGGTTTGGACATGAGTTCGATCAATATAGAGAAAGAGCTTTTACCAAAGAGCATGACTTTTCAGGAAAGTTAGTATTTCACATGATATTTGAGTATCATTAACTGAATGACCAGGAATTTGACCCTTGCTGCCTCATTCTTCTACATAAACAGTCTAATATTACAAAATTTGGTCAGAGAGGAGTTGGAACAACTGAAATTCTGATATGTAAATATCACAAAGTTTATATAAACTAACCAGAGATTCTAATATTACAATAATGACAAAGGTGAAAGCAAGACTGTGATCAGTTCATGCTTTCTTCATGTACAGCCTCATCTTATAACCCCCCCCCCCCCCCCCCCAAAAAT